ATCTTAATTTTTAATGATACGGAGCACTATATCTTTAACATCTTACGAGCTTTAATAAAGGAAAAGAAAAAGCGAAGATGGAAAAAAAAACAACAAAGAATGAAACTTTGAAAGAAAATAAATCTTCACTAATTATCATATTTAACATCCCTCTTCAGAGAAAGCCATAACATAGCAGGCATTGCAAAACAGATGGAGAGAAATGTGATCTCTGCAGAACATTTCTGCAGTTTTTTTTCTTTCGGGGGTGTACATGAACTTTTGGCACTAACACTGTGCTTTCACAGGAAGAGAGATGCAAGCTATTAACCTAGGGATGATTTCTTGCTGGGTGTCTGTCAGTAATTTTATAAGTAGCCATACCATGAGGAATGAACTTTCAGAGTTCAGATGATGTCAAGTGAGAATGGTTCCTGGTATCCGATCTTGAATACATATACTGTATGATCTGTGTCAGAAATTACATGATATAAAACCAATCACAGATATATCAGTTATGGAATTAATATATAGCAAGTCAGCTGGGCTTAGATTCTCATTACTGATCGACATGCTCCCAAATTTGCTCCGAGTTTCAGAGTTTCTAAATAATGTATTCTTGGGTATTACTAGATGAACATTGATTTGGGAAATCAAGTGTGTGGGAAATCTAGCTTGAGTCAAATAGTTATTATTGTATTATTCTAATATATTTTATGTTTTTCATTAAAATTTCAAAAGAAGCATATCACACCAAAAATTGAATGGAAAACTACCAAGAGTTTTGGCCTGGGTCTGTAAACAATCTTAAGTGGCATACATGTATGATGGTAAATGCATTACTTACATTCCATTCTTAAAATATCATTTACTATTTAAATACTATTAGTTACCATTTCAGAAGTTGGATGAATATTTAGTATTTATCATTTCAAAACAGAATACTGTTCCAAACTCTGTATGTTGGGCTGAACAGGTACTTGCATTTGTTAAAGGTTAGGAGGATATGATGGTAATTGAACACATGTAGCACAGTGACTGTAAAACACCAGTTCCTCCTTGTGGTAGTAGGACTAAAATAGATAGATGAAAAAATGAACTGACAAATAGGGAGATATAACATTGGTTAACCAAACCATCAATGTGAAGATATGAAACTAAACTTGAAGCATAATTTTAGCTTACTGACCATGAGATATCTGTGCAATGGTGCAGAGGAATTGGGTTGAACCTTGAAAAAAACAAGTTCAATATGCCAATTAATCAACAAAACTCCTCAGGTGTACCAGTATAGAACTCTTTTTTATACTTGACAACCACCAGCAGCTGCTTTATCATATGTCATACAAAGAACTTTCCTCCTCATCATATTAAAAAAAAATACACAGCCTAGACTTGCAATGCATCAATCTCTCCATGGAATCATAAGGGTCTGCTCACAAATGTGCCCAGCTTGAGAATTGAGAGTTAATTTCTTACATCAGTCAGTGCTTGCAAATTGTTATCAAAGGGAAAGGGAAGCTGCTTGCTGCCATAATTTCCACATATATATCATAAATTATGACAGATTGCTTTTATATACAACAGAACTACTATAACTCTGCCATCAAGTGGGTGTGAACACAAGCAGTAGTCAGTGACTTAAACTGATCTTCACCATGCATTTCTCCCGAGCTTAATATATGAGTAAGATATATAAACCTTAATTTAATTGACTTTGGGAAATCTATTTGTACCAGTACACTGAGTACATGACTCTGAATGCCAGTCCAACTCACTGACATTTTCATGCTGTTTTAGGTATGAAAGGAAAACAAACAGCTACCAGACCAGAAAACTTTTAACACTGAAGTGCATATGGCCTGCCCTAATAATATTAAGCAATAGCATGACTGTCTTCCTATTATGCAAGCTCGTATATAATTGATATATGTAAGAGGTTAGAAGTGTTCCATTATCCCAACTTTGGGAAATATTACATTGGTACATACATTGTGAAAGAAGTGGTATCGGATGTTTCTGTACTTCTATTTCTGATTCATAATGGCTCTTGAGATACTTGCCATGTATGCAATGGTGCTCCTCTGAGAGCTCAATGCAATATTTATGGGCTCCACCCCTTCTGGATTATACTCTGACCTGCCCGATTTGTACATTGTACATCCTCATTATTTCTAGATCTCCGCTGGAAGATAATATCTTTTGAAGACATCCCTGGCATGTTTGCACCACATCCACAAATGTGGGGGAAACTGTGCAGTTTACACTAACCCCGCTGTCCAAAGCTGCATGGGGTAAAGGAAACTTGAATACTGCACAGAGATATCATAATTAAGTCTCTCCAAGCTCCGAAATTTGCCTCTGCAATGAAGTGCAAGTAAATTTATAACCTTAAAAATCTTTTTTCTTTCTTTAATACAAAAAATGGAGATCGATCAGGATTTTCATTGAAATAATTTATTGAAGGTATGTACTGCAGTGAAGTCCATTTTATTTCCCATAAACATTATATTGCACATGAAGTTATACATTTTCATGAACAAATTTTGGCACAACATGAAAGTCAAAAATCACCCTACCTGTCATACCCAAGATATTTGACATCCACTGCTTTTACATAACTACCACCGATAATTAGTTCTGGGTCTTTCAGTTTTCAACTTTCCATTGTGTAATTGTGTGCAAAGTTGAAAACTTGACATCTTTCTATCACAAGAAAATATTATTAAACAAACAGACAAATAGTGTTATTTTCAATTTTTTGCCAGGTTATAAATATGAGCATGATGACCTCCGTACACCAGGTCAAGTATTCCCTGGCCAAGCTGGGTTGCTCTCACCCCCAGACTCTGGCAACTCACCTGTCTACTGTCAGCATTTTTTGAGATCCTTATCACATCCTCCATAACATTTATCTGTATCAAAAAAACTTAGAAAGATGGACAACCAAATAGCCTGGCTACTGCGTAAGAAACTAAACTAAAAAGAACCCCCATGCTTGACACAGCCAGTTATAACAAAATTAATTTTGTTTGGTTCAAAAAGTTGGAAGCGACTTGCTAAAGGGAGTAAAATACCCATTTTAGAACAAGTCTATGAGTTTTGATGATGACATGTGTAACACACCAAGTAAAAAGGACCCAAGTTTCCTGTGTTGTCTGAAACTTCAGGTGGGTTACTCCCTCACTTGCTTTTTAACCACTATACCTACAGGTATGTTAAGCAGTTAGGCCTACTTTTATATAGAGTAACATAAAGCAACCCAAGTGGTTCCCAGTATATTGCCAGTTTCAATCTGCAAAAGGTTGCTTTGAAAAGCATTGGCATAACATTTAGATTAGAGCCAAGTAACTGTCTTAATGTTACCCTGTGATTATAGTACAACATGAAGACTTGTAATTTGGCACATCTTATTCCTCAGAGTATAGTAGGAATCCATTCAGGAAAGTGTTGAAACATAACCTGACATGTTATCTGAGGTGTAATTCTCTAATACTGTTGCATATGTACAGAGAGCACACTAGAAAGCTATAATTACATAACAAGACAAAAAAATTATGCACAAAGAACTAAAAGGAGGAAAACTGCAAAGCCAAATGAGATCATGAACTTTTTTTTTTTTTTTTTTTTTTTTGTAAGAAAAGATGGACTAATGGACTAACAAATAATTATGTTTTGATGCAAGGCAAATTTGGCATGAGGCCAAAATGGATGAAAAGAAAAGGCCAGAGGAATAAATCATGTCATGCTAAATGGGGAATATCTCAAGCTCACCCAAAAGCTATGATACACACTGTTGCAACTTGCATATGTCTCATTACACAACATACTTTCACGTTCACATTATTCTCACCATTCCAGGATTTTTATACATACAGTGTCTGTATATATATATTTGAAATTGAAAAATATATCATGCCACATATCATGAAAGACGAGAACTGCATACGATTGCATGAGACATGTTACATGTTATTCAATTTCTATCTTGCTAAGTGTTATTTGGTTTCTATCATGCATGATGTTATTCAATTGCGACTCTTTTCTAATTTCCTTCTTTGAAATTTGTGGATTCTCACATGTTATGTGTCACTGAAGTGTACATGTGTGGAGAAACCTGGCACACATCTTCTCATGTTTGCCTCTAACATTGAAGACAAAGCTAATCAAGCATGATAAAACTGTTGAAATATCTTATTGCATTGGGTTCAAGATAATTTTACATAGAAATCACCTCCCTTTTTTGTGAGATGAACTGAAAGCTGCAGACCTCACCTATCACGCAACAAAATCAGTTTTTTAGCGAAAAATTATTTGAAGGTTGAATACCGATATGAACTATGCACACTGTTAATAGCCTGTATTTTTTCTTTCATTTAAAGTATTATCTTTGGAGTTCCAAGTTATGACATTATTTCTACACAGTGTGCTACAAAACCTCAGAGATACAAATAAACAGAAATTAGGTTGATAAAGGACACTGCAATAGCATCATTAAGATACCACACTATAGCAGGTGATACCAGTTGTGATATATGGTGGGCTATATTAATGATTGATCTTGTTCAATTTTGCTACAGGTGCCATACCAAACGTCCATGAAAAAAAGATTGCTATATCTAGACATTGGTTTATTTTTTTACATAAAGTAACCATAGGTAAGTTCACTATCAAACACTCTAAACTTATTTTCTCTCTTGTGGAATTTATTGTCTAGTTTTCTCAATAAACAAATATTTCAAAGGATTGAGTTTTCTTTTGCATAAATAAAAACACCTAAAATAAAAATATGCTTAAAGAGGATAGTTGACCACTTGTTTATTAGTGCTAATATAAACATTAACAGATTTTTAGCAATCCAGACAAATATGCCACATGAAGACAACATGCAAAATAATTTTAAGTAGTATATTGAAAATGCTGCCATATTATAAGAGGCATACACTTAGGTCTTGAAATTCATGAAAACAATTCAAATATCAAATGAAATCATTTTACAGAGAGCACACAAACACAAATGATATACTCAAATTTCTTTTATCTGCTCATTGTAATGTTAATCCACTGCTTTTTTGTATATGAAAAACATCTTTAAAAGAAAATGACTACAATATATTCATAATTATTATCATTGACAGTGAACTTTTTCATATATCTTGTTCACATACAATACTAATTCCATATCAACCTTATCCTATATCCTACAGTATACTGTAATCTCTAAATCTTTTTACAGCTAGATTAATTTCTATTATTTATGTGAAGAAAAACATTAAACACAAATTTTCTTTTTATCTAAAAGGCTCTATCTGTCCCCAATAATACTGAATTTATCTGGTGTACAGTAAGCTTGGGGCCATCAAAATTTCTAAGAAAACAGTACATAATAGCAATCCACTTTCATTCTGAGAATTCTGAGAAGACATTTAGGCCAAGTCTTATTATAATAAATGAAACACTGCAAGTAATTAAACAAAAACAAAATTATGTATCAAAATTTAAAAAAAAAAAAATTAAAAATTTTAGACCAAGCCAGAGAAAATATATTTAGAATTATAAATGAGATAATTCCATTTCTTATTATATCAAAGTATTAGGTCAAGATTTAATGTTTTTCATCTGAGAACCTTTTCAAACAAATTTAAAAGGACTTAAACTGACTGTTAAGCCCACTATCAAAGGATGGCATTCACAATACTTCAAACACTTTCACTTCATGTATTTTCATCTACAATGAAATAACTTCATCAGTCATTGGAGACATAATTTTTAAACAATTAATTAGCATCGTTACCCTTTTTTGTTTCAACATTAATCAAGTCATATAATGTATACTTTCTTTCCTGAAAATCCATATATATTATTAGTATCAATAGAAAGCAGATTATTCATTCTTGAGAATCTTTATAAAATCTCCCACTGAAGAATTCCGGCATCCTTCCCTCCAGTTGAAAGCAGACGACTATCATCATGAAGGAAGCGGACAGCAGTCACATGACTACTATGGCCACCATAAGCCCGATGCCCAGCCTAGAACAACAGAATGACAGATTCAAAGACTGTATCTATGCAAAGAGATATAGTCATTAGAAATTGTACCTCTTAATTCAATATATTTACCTGAAAGGTGACCATTTCCTTCATACTGAGGTTATTTGAAATTCCTCAAAATCCTTTATAAAAACTAGACTTTTGAAGATTACATAATCACAATTACCAATATGTTCTATTCAATTTGTGGAGATCAAACAGAAAATATGCAACATAGGCCCAATTTCATACAAAAAAACTGCATTTGTTTATAGGCTATGGTGGACAAAATACACACTTTCACACCAACCAAAATTTCAGCACCAGTCAAATTTTCAAAAGAACTTTCTTTAAAAACACTCTCACCTCAATGTGTGTTGAAGGGTATCTGTAGAGGTTCACTTTCCCATAGTCATCAGCACTGGCAAGGAGATCTGCCTTGTGAGCACGACTGCTGCCATTGACATCTGTACCGTCAGCTCCCTCTGGCCAGATGCCTGAAATACAACAGTTTACACACACATAACTATTTACCATGGAGGCACTGAAGCCATATAAATATAAAACCTCCATCTCAAATTCTATATTGTGCAAAGAAACTAAAAAAGGGGGGTATTCATATATCAGCAAATATTGACAATGAAATATAGCAGCAATTTAAGTCTCATGATTGCAGTACCAGTGCATATCTGCAGACAAATATCCAAAATATCAATTTTACACCACAGATTTAAAGACACCATAAATAACACCATGCCATAAACCAGCAATAAAGAAGTCAACTTTGATAAAATAACTTAAGTATCACAAAAAAAATACACACAGGAAATATATTCAGTCTTTAAGAGTTTACGCTCAAATGCAATATCCTACCTTGCAACACAGTATTTAACAGATAGTTAGTCTTTTTATCTTACCTTAAAAAATCTTTTGAAATATCTGTTCCATGTCACATATTAACCTTTATATTTCAATGCCGTACTCACCACAGGTATTGAAGCTAATGGTACAGTAAGAAGTGGCCCACTGTACGTCTCTCATACTACTTGAAGCTGTGATTTGTTTGCAACTGGATGCATTCCCTGTGAAACAATTAAATCATAATACATAACTTATCAAATGATATATTTATACTCCACGTGTGAAATTAAAATTTTTTGAAGTTACATAATTCTACCTTATATATTTCAGTCATTTTATGCAACCCTTTTGTAAAAAAATAACAAAAGTTTGGTGCCTAATACAGTTTTCAGACTATTTTCCATCAGCAAATGGAGAAAGAATTCCTAAATCTACAGGTACATGTGCTTGCACTATTGGGATCATCATAATAATCATAGCATTAAGCAAGGCTGTTGGCACTGTATGATGTAATCTGAGATAAGAATTCATTTGACCTTTGTGGGATTCACTTAATAAGTCTACCGATATTTCTGACCCAATCTTCATTCACATTCTGCCAATGTGAAAGTACGAGAACCTCAACTTACAGAAAAGTAGTTCATAATCTCCTGAGTTTGACTGAATATACTGACTGTCTGCAGACCAGTCTAGGTGAGTCACAAAACTGGAGTGACCCTGTAATCAAGAGGAAAGTTCAAAATACAATCTAATACTAAAATACAAAACTGAATACACAATAAGCTGAATATCACTGAGCTAGTAAATAGTTAACTTTTAGTTGAATCAAGAAACAGAGTCTTCCAGATGACAAATTTACTTTTCTAAAAAATTATTTTTTATTTTTTTTCTTTAAAATGTAAGCAATTACTGACATGTCCCCTAAGGGGCACTAAAGACTTACTGCAGGATAATTATGAAATAGCTGTATGTACAGTAATGCTACTGTGCAGACACACAAATTGAAAGTTAATGAAATATTGCATGCAAACACCCCATATCCCATGACACTCAGCTTTGCCAAAATTTGCACATGCATAGCTGGCTCGTTGGTCTAGGGGTATGATTCTCGCTTTGGGTGCGAGAGGTCCCGGGTTCAAATCCCGGAGGAGCCCAATCTATTTACTTTTAAATCTATGTTTTCTGCATACCTGGCATTTACCAACGCGTGAATATTTTTTCCCTTCCTCATCAACACTATAAACATAAATGTGATTGTCCCTGGAGCCCAGTGCTAAGTACTTTCCGTCTGAAATATAAAATTATTGCTCAGTGCCTCACTATAGACAGTTTTTTTCATCTTATTAACAATATAATAACATCTGTAAACAGCAAGAATCAGCCCTAAATAATATGTAGAATACGCATAGATTTGGAAACTCTGCAGACCACGTTATGCTCACAAACATATGTAAACTGACCGTCAATCCTTTTGCTAGGCCTACAATTCATTTTTTTCAAAACACACTCACACAAGTCATACCTGGTGAATACTCCGCACACTCAATCTGTTCATTGCCATCAGTGTGAGAATAGACAGGTTCTCTAGAAGTGAGGTCCAGCACCAGCCACTTGGCAGTCTGTGTCCCTATAGCCACCACCTGGGCATCAGGGTGAAAACATGCACAGTGGGCAGGGACCTGGTATAGAAAAAAAAGCAATATATAATATAATGCAAACCCCCCAAAATTTTATTTGCATGTTGTTCACCAGAAGCAAACAGTATCTCATGACCCAGAGAACTTCCACCTAAATCAGCAACAGACTAGGGAAGTACTCATGTAGTTATAAAACATCTATAGCCATATCATTTCTGTTTAATGTACATAAGAAACTCAACACAGTTACATGATCCTCACCTCCAATTCCTTGCTCCACACAGCAGAATGAGACAGTGCGTCCCAGAGGAACACCTTCTTGTCATAGGCGCAGGTCAGGAACTGGTGCTGATTAGGGTGGACTGCCAACCCCCACAGTTCATCAACATGACCCTGGGGACAGAATAATCATGTCAGGGGTTAGTTTGCTTTATAAAGATATGTTAACGAAATGTTTAACCCTTATTTAAAACTTTAAAAAATTATCATATAGACTTGTCAGGAAAAAAAGACCATACCTGTACTATAGGGTTGAAGTTGAGTTCCAGTGTCCCTTGTAGTATGACATTCCTGGTAGAGCCAACTACAATCATATTCCCCTTGCCCTGGGTCAGTGTGCGCACAGCGCCATAGTGTTCTGGGATCTAGGAGGATAATCATTGAAGGAATTGAATATGACATTATATTAACACCAAGGCTATGTTATAAAATATATTCTTTACAATATCAAACATTTAAAACTACTTTCTGAAAAACTGAACTGTCAGTTGAATTGTCAACTCAATATATTCAAGAATTACAAGTTTGACTTTTTTATCCATATATATCATAATGCTCTAGACATTTAACTTCAATTAACTTAAAATGACCACAAAATTCACATAGCATTCACATATACTGCCAATGAGAAATACAAATTCACCATCCCTTAGAAGAATGAATAAATGTCATGTTACATTCAACAACATAGTCAGAATCTTAATGTCATCTCACCAGGCTGGATCAACTAATTATAAAAATATAATTATTCAAAACTTTAACCTTTGTAAATGCATGTCCACTTGCACACAACACACACACAAACATAGAATCACCTTATAAACTTACCTCCACCTCTCCAGTCTGAGTCAAGCCAGTGGCATCCCACTGTACAATTCTCCTGTCCTTGCCACCACCAGATAGCAGATGGCCATCCTTGGTGAACAGCAGGGAGAAGATACCACCTTCATGTACCCCTGTCAGGGCCTTGGAGATCTTGTTGGTGCCTGGTGGAATTAATATACATTAATATGGCAACTGGTATATGTAAAATCATATGACCAGGTACTTCACTTCACTATAAAGCTCTGCAGACATAATTGTGGAGAACTTATGTTACATTATACCTATTATATACTCACCTCTTGGCCAAATGAATATATTTCCATTAGAATCTCCAGTAAAGACATCTCCATTATCAGCAATAGCCAGACAAAGTACAAACTTGGGTTTCTCGTGTTTCTGTGAAAATCAAACACCAATATGACATTAAACTTTTAATCAGGTACAAAGAACTCGAGGCTAAAATATTCTTTTTCAACCTCCCCCCACATATATTAATCCATTTTTCTTGCAAAAAACAGCTCCCTTCAATGACAGGTGTCTCCCTTTTACAAAAAACATACTCCACGTATATCATGACTAAGTTAAAATCATCTTTCAAGAAATAAGGCCCATTAACAATGTTAACAATGCTTACTCAAACCAGACAAAACCTCACTGACATCCTCAGACCACCAGCTTAGATTACATGAGATTTCAACTTTCAAAGCACGAAGTAATGGAGGGGTCCCTAATGTGATATGTTTGTTATATATATATATCAAACTCATTTCTGTCAAAGCAAGTTCTGTTGTGAGCAAGGTTTTTATTTACCTCAAAGAGCCCCAGTTTCTTGCCCAGGGTGCCACCTTCCAGTGTCCAGAATGTGATCTGATTCTTACCACAAGTAATGATGGTATTGGCATCCAGTGGATGGAACTCTGAGGCCACAACAGGCTCTGTAGAACTCTGTAATCCATTGTAAAACATGATTTGTACAATCTTTTCCATATTTTATATATTTCACAGATATTAATTCACAAGTTGGCTTTTATACATCATTTACATTATGGGTATGTTTATTCGTTTTATGTTATGAGTTGAAAAAAGGTTTATGGTTTATGGTTGAACCAATTTAAAGCTAGCTGTAAGTTTGTTATCTTTTTTCTTAACCTAATTTTGGAATACCGATAACAGCTTATGAATGGTGCTGTTGAAAAAAATGAATTTCTCCATATTTGCCTTGGTCTCTGTAATCTTGTGTCCTTTCTCTCCTTTCTGCCACTCCCACACTGATAGAGTATGCTCATTGCCCTCATCCACAGCACACAGCAGCTGTCCACCATCCTGCAGTGACAAGGTGAGCAAATGTACCATAGATTTAATCATTCCCGCTGTCCTTACAATACATAGTGATGTTCATTTTCATTAAAAAATTTGAGAACAATTTTGATCATTGCTTTGATACGACAAAGCTTAAACCTGTATCGCTTAAAATACCCAAGCCATCACTGGATAAATAGTGGTACATGCACTGAAATATCAAATGAAATGTCATTGTATTTTTTTTAAGACAAGAATTTGCAAAAATTGCAGTGTTCAAAAAGATCTGAATGCACGTTCAGTATACAGTATTTTGAATGGATGGGGATGGGAATCATCTGAGATAGGACATTTACAGCATTTACAGGAGAATGAGGTAAGAAGTTATGGCAAACTAGCGAGTGAGGCTATAAATGAGTAAAAGCTGAAAGAATTTTTTCATGGGTATTTTTTGGTTGATTTCTCTTGAAAGGACAAAGCGTAAGATTTTTAAAACACATTTTTTTACTTAAAAATACATAAACTGCTTCTTGTTGAACTCATTTGAGAGCAAGTAATATTTTAAAAATAATTTTAACAGATAAATGCCATGAATATAAGTCATCAAAAAATAATCTAATTCATCACCTCCTGGCCATCTGACACAATTTTGAATTGCGCAAAATCTGGCAGTTGGTGCTGGAAGTGATTGTTAACTTGACAATGGCTTTTAAGGGAAAGGCAATAAACAATCAAAATGTTTTACTGAGTTATTACAACAATCAATTGGCCTAGTTCATATTTTTGTCAAACTACCCTTGCTTGATATTGAGTCAGATGAACTTACTGCCTTTGAGAATCCAATAGAGCATACTGCTCTATCAAAGTCTCCTCCCAGACCCAAGATATGGAGAGTTTGCAGGCTGACAGAGTTCCAAACCCGGACATGAGGCTGAAACAATAGAAATAGCATGGTAAAATGTGAAAGCTATTTACGCAAGTCACCAGGTAGGACAGGCATCATAAACCTTACAGTGAGTTTAATGAATCTAAGAACGAATGACACAAAGAAAATAATAAGAAATCAATATGAGAAGGGAGGTTTAATTATACAAATACAAAGGATATGGTCGTTCGTAGAACTAGTCTAGCAAAATATTAGCAATCTAATGAAATCAGTATCATGCTAGCCTACAGCGTTTAACTAATTTTTTTTCTAATTTTTTTGTATGCTACCTGCTCCACCGAGTAGTGGAATGGTTTCGCAGAAACCATGCATCAGATAAAATCAAACAGGATCACAGTATATTCAAGTAAAACCAACTGAAGGCTCTCTACACAAAGAAAACCAATACAAAAGAGTATGATTGAGGTGGAGATAACGGAGAAAAACCAAAACAGCATTTCCAAACTTGGAATTGTAATGCACCATTTTTGTATTCATCCAGGCATGTAGAATATGATACATTTTTAATGAAATTTAAAATGAAATCATTATGAATAAAAACACTATCAATCTACATTGAAATTAAATTTTCTAAAGAATTTGTTTCATGCAATCTCTGAAGGGTGAACAATGCTGTAAAATAATAAATTCAAATAGAACATACCAACAAGATATAAAAAAAAATTGCTTATGTAAGAAATCATAATAAGAATTTTTAAGAAATTAAGCAACATTCCGCAATCAAGAAAGCAAAATAGTCATGCACTTTTCACAAAAATAAAATTAAAAAAATATTTTACCAAAATGGCCTCCTTTAAAACCTCCATCAAGAAAAGAAATAACATGAAAGAAAAGGAACCCTTGAAAAAATAAGATAAAGCAAACCAAACTCACCAAATGATCAGGAGCAGTGCTTGGGTCGCCTTTTCCATGTTGGGCGCTCTTAGGCTGCAGGTAGGGGGAACACAAAGCAAATCAGCACCAACAAACCAACAACCAACCAGTCAAATAATACACACATTATGAAATGCCACTGCATTTTTTTATTATCAACATTCATAATGATTTCTTATGAACAAGGAGAAACAAGAAAAGTTTGATATTTGTATTGTACACAAAACCTTTAATATAATGTGTGCATAGTTTATAATCGAGTCTGCTATACAAATGTTAATGTTAAATTTGTATCTGAATCATGTAAACCTAAATGTTGGTTATAACACAATGGCATTTCAGAAGTTTAAGCAGTCTAACAAAATCAAGAAAAGAACTGGTGTAATGGGTATTATCACTTCAATGCAGAGATACAATATAAACAGCAAAAATTATATATTTCCAAATCAAAATAAAAAGACCAAGTATAACCTAAAAGCACAAGTGTTGCAGTTTAATCAAATATCTTCCATATGGATAGAATTTCAAATCAGTGCATATTTCTATATATTTTTGATTTTTTGGTTTTGTTTTGTTTTGTTTTTTAAGTCTTCTTAGCAAATCAGTGATAGTTTGAACAGAACAATTAGATCAAGAGCATTGTCTGCTGCAATTAGTCTTTTCACAGTTTAAGTGAGCATCATAAAAACAGAGTGCCACTGTAGTGAGTCTGGCAAGCACAAATGAATTGTAGCAAACAGAAACAGACACTGGTTACATCTTCACATCCATTCAACAACCAGTGGCAAGTACAGAAAGCTTTACAAAAGCACACCATATGTGATCATACTATCTTTTAAATCTGAACCAAATGCATTCAACTCATATTTTCGGAGTACCTTCATTTTCACAAAATGCTTTTGTCCAAAACAGTATAATACCTCGTATTTCACATGGTCTTTTTCAAAGTTGAAGCAGAAATGTTAAATGCCATGCATTAAATGTTTCTAGGCTTTCATCAACAAATTCAAACCTCTATAAAAACCACTGGAAATGAGTAAAAATGTGAAAACTGTCCTAGCCCACAAGGGGGACATAGGGGCTTACCCTGCTAGACTTCTTGTTATCATGCCCAGCCACCTGACCTGTTGCTATGGTAATTTTGTCTGGATGAACTGCCAAGCTAAAAAGAATATACATTTTTTTAATCTATAAAGTTGTGACAATATTTCTATGCTATAGAGGGCAATAATGACACAAATTCTAGCTCAAATACAGACAAATTCTATTCCATCTTAAATGCACAAGTCATTATAACTGGTAAAAAATATTTTAAGGCATTTCCCACAGCCTTAACTTAACTTTTCTAATTGATTAATTGCCTGTAGAGTTTTTCTTATGGCACATGCAACATCTGGATTCATTCCAGCATGTAAATCGCATTGAAAAAAAAATTAACTCTACAATANTCTTAAATGCACAAGTCATTATAACTGGTAAAAAATATTTTAAGGCATTTCCCACAGCCTTAACTTAACTTTTCTAATTGATTAATTGCCTGTAGAGTTTTTCTTATGGCACATGCAACATCTGGATTCATTCCAGCATGTAAATCGCATTGAAAAAAAAAATTAACTCTAACTGCTAGATTTTAAATTATGCCCCAACACATGGATGCCGTTTCAAAGATTTACCACTTGACATCATCTGTATGTCCTAGGTAATGTCTCTGTATTTGTTCTTCCACATTGTACAACACCACCACACCTGCCACAAAGTACACAGTCTCTCCTGTAGGAAGTAGATGAACATTGCTGCGGCAGTCTCGGCCCCTATAGCCGTAACTGTGGAATGTCAAGGATTAGCCAATGTAAAGTGAATAAAACAAATTCTAAGAGTACAAAACTCAAAAAGAAAGGCAACTGTTATTTCACAGTGTTAACAATCAATTTTTTTCTGTTTTATCTTTTTTAATCAATATCATTATGTGCCAAATCTAGATTATTCAGGATAAACTCAAGAAAACAGAAGTTGCAGATAAATGTATTCCATTGTCACAGTTATTCAATAAATAAGTTAGAGGATACACCCATTCTAATTTGAGACTCTGTGGCGGCTGGTCCTCTTTCTTTGCCAGGTCATACTCTTCTAGTGTGGGAGCGTACAGTGTCACTGGACGACCTCTGAGGTACATACGGAGGTATCCCTCCTCTGGAACACCAAAAGAGACATTCATGTTTTATTTTGATCAATCTTATTTACAAGCAGTCATAAATTCCATGAGGAAAAAAACAACTTTTAATATAAAGAAATGTTTTCAATTACTTTACACTTTTCTTTACACTTATTTGTTCAGTCTATTTATTCACATAGATGATTGTTTGAGTAGGTAAAACAAATGTATACTATACATATTACATGTGCACTCACTGACACCATGCAAGATTCAAAAGTAGTAACATTTACCTTTATTAAATGTCGTCTCTTTGCTGAAAAAAATATTTGTAAAAGAAAATATTAATTTGATACACTACAAGTTTAATACAGATATGCTAATCAGGCCCGTAGCCAGGGGGGGTTCGGGGGTTCGAAAGAACCGCCCCTTTTGCTGAGAAAAGGTCCACTCTGGGTAAAATTTGATCTAGATACATGATGTTTTTATGGAAAAAGGTCCACTTTTTCAGAAAACGAACCCCCCTTTTGAAAGTTCTGGCTACGGGCCTGCTAATAATGTGTAAGAAACAGTAAATAAAGTACATAAACTAAAGGAGTCTTCTTGATATTAAAAAACCAATACCAGAGTCAGGGAAATTAAATTCAATAATTAACATTTTTTTAAATATGAAGCTTCACCAAAGCTGACATTTAAAAGAAATTAACAGGAAAATGTAGATTATGGGATAACATGGGATCTGAGGAGATATTTTCATATATGCACTTTACAAATTAAAAAGATAATGTTAATACCTTCACCTCTTGACAGAAATGTATGACTACCCTATACATGTGACAGAATATTCTAAACTATATCTAAACCATATGGCTACAATGTATTTAATTTCCCTTTACAATATTTCCTCTGTGTTAGTATAAATGCCTGGTCAGTGCTTTCATATACATATTTTGTTATTGAAACAATAATGTTACGGCAATCTTGATTCATAATCATCTTAATATGTAACAATATCAGTTACCTGAATTTTCATTAGAGAAGTAAATATTTATTTCAAGGAAAGGAACAGCAGGCAACAATAATAATAATACAAATAATAAGATAGTCATTACACATTTTAAGCATAAATGTTCCAATATAAAATGTTTATGCAAGGTAAAAGATTGAAGAATAAAGGTTCACCATCGCTGACCTAAATATATTTATGCATATAGCAAATAATGAAATAATTTAATCCACTATAACTACACCCTTCCTTAAAGCACAAGGACAGTATTTGATTATATATATATTTATATATATATACCACTGAAAAAGGGTGAAAAATAAAGTTAGTACTGCTATATGTTTACTAAACCATATATATTGTTATACTGCTGGCATCATTACCGTGGCATTGTATCAGAGATGTCGTATGAACAAATCCTTCAGCCTCTGAAGAAAACAAAAAAAGATAATTTAATGTACTTGTTACAGGTGCTCCAGTTTCTTCATCCTCATACCCTTATGTAAGCATAAAAACAGCTTCTCTGAAAGAGTGTACACCATGGTCCTTTATTCATAAGCAAAAATGACAAAATAATCTTGCTCTCTCCCCTCACTCTCCCTCTCTCTTTTTCTCTCTGGCAATAAAATCTGACATTCAATCAGTCTATAAAGATGGTCATAACATATACTTCAAATGCACACCTCTGAATTTGCATTTACACTGAAGATATGTCCACCCTTTTCAATACAACCTTTCTTTGCGACTGGTGTGATTAAGCTCTGCGTACCAAAGACAACTTGGGAATATTACTGGTTTCTTAAAGACCATTGTTTGCCATGCTCAAAGGTAGGTATAAGTGCAGCCACGAATGTATTACCAATAATGTTCAACCAAAATGGCCAAGATGGAAAAATTTGCTATAAAGTGAATTTAAACTGGTAACTCCTGATGATTTAATCTTTCCATAGAAATGCGATTTTACATATTTTTGTTTAGTGCTTGAAACCGATGATTGAAAACAGCTCTAAAACACAACTTGTAGCCTTCACTGTAATAAACACTCCAATGTTAGAGACCATCAGATTTTGGCCATTTTGGTTGAACATTCTCAGTAATTCATTCCTGGTACAGCTGAATTACATTTAATCAGATTTATCGTAGAGATGGGTGGTGCAGAGGTGAGGTGGGAAGGAGCCACCTATCTTCAATGTTAAGACATTTTTACATGCGATTAGACAACCATGGGCATATGTAAAGGAATAATGCAGGTTAAGCATAAAACATGCTCTTGGTTAGATGATTAAAATTGACCACATGCATGGAAATGTTTATTGCATTATTTTTTTATGCAGCTAAAAACCAAAACAAGCAAAATATATATGGTTTACATCACAGCAAGTAGATATTGTAGATATTTGGTTATAGCAATCAACCATGAAGAAAAGAGAGATACTAAGTGGTAAATTACCGCCTATGTGCCATAGCTTTTCTATCAGTAGCTCTAGTTTTGTCAGTTAAGCATGTCACAGACTGGAACGATCTAAAACAATTACATACAATATATATATATATAATTATATATATAATTTAGATATGATATTGTTTGAAAACAAACTGGTCAAAATTAAGCTTAAAGGTGAAGGTATTTAAATTCTTACAATGATCAAACTACATTGTTTGTGTTGTTACCAACATAAAATGCTCAATTCTGATTAAATACTATTAAAACCTTTCTTTTTGTTAATCAACAAATACCACATGTATTTTAAATTCAAGAAGTTACATGTACGATATCTGGAATTATTGCCATGTACTTTTGAAATTCGAGTTCTTTTCTCTGTTTCTTAAATAACCGGGCACATTATTTAAATCCTCTTGCAATGCTCTGATTTCTGTCTTTGATTCCAGTAATGTCACAATTTTCAAAAACTTAAAAACAAATCTTATTACAAGTAAAGCATTTACCGCAGACCAAAAAGCAGCTCAAAAGCACACACCCTACCTTATTCCAGCACAGAATGCTACAAACCATTTGTTCTAAACATCCTATTTATTGATGCTTTAATGCCCAAGCCAACAGGTTATGAACAAAATGCATTAAACAAACCCCACAGGGCCATGTTAAGTACCAGCTAGCACTGGTATATAGTAATTGCTATATTACTACAATTGTGCTGCTGTAAAATTAGGAACATTCTCCATCACTGTACTTTTCATCCTGATCTACAAAGTGGTTTCCTACTGACACATCAGGCTATATACTGAGGCTACTGTATGAAGACACAATTCTTTACTTTTATCTCTATACTGCTTTTTTTAATCATAAAATGACTATTGGTGAGTGATTTTTTTTATCTACATAAAAGAATCCAGAAGGAAGTAAATATACTAAACAATTACCCTGCATGCAGATGGACACCAATGCCCTTGGGTTTCCAAACAAGCTAATCACTATTTTGACCTTATTATCAATTTAGTCCATCAAACATTATATGCATACAAATTATTCCTTGAGCTTTGTGAAAAGATACCCTAATTATGTGCATAGAAATGCATTAGTGGGAATATTTTTACAAACAAACTGCAGAGCCCATACAATGAAATTAAATCCAAGTAAAAGGTGAATTAATTCATACCATTATAAAACTAAATATGCCCATGGCAATGCTTTATAATGAAGATTTTTTTCCATGCATTATACTGTAATGATTCTTTAGCATTTTGTTAGTAATAACATGAAAGCCAGTAAAACCCAAACTGAAAATGGCTGAAGATGCAAGTAGAGAAATAAAAAGATTGTGAGCTAAAAAGTATAAGCTATAAAGAGTACATTCCCAAAGAAAAATCACACAGCAAACAGCAAAATCATCCCAGAAAAAAAGGCAAAACAATCACCCCACAAAAAATGTAAAACTTTCAGAAATCAACACAAACTCTACATTAACTTGAATTCACAACCACTTTCCTGGTTATTATCCCTGATAACAAAACTTATGGAAGTGGATAAAGAAAAAAAATACACCACCAACATAAATACCTGCTCATTTGTAAGTTTCCTCCCTGGAATTCTGCAGAAGACAGTGATGACCACTTCTTCAGTGAGGTTGGGCTGGGTGAGGGGGGAGCCTTGGGAGTGGGTGTGGGCGCCCTCTTCTGTGGTGGTGCTGTGTCACGAGTGACAAATGCCTGTTCAACTGATCCTACATTTTAAATAAAAACAAGGACTACACTGGCCTAAATTATATTTGACATGGTAGAGGGCAGATAAAAAAGTATAAAACAAAATCTTGAACATACAAGAAAGAATCTTGCTCAGAAAACAAGTGCTCAAGAAAAATCATCTCTAAAAAAAGGAAATTCACAAAGACTTCAATCTCCTTTTATATTCAAGGTTATGATCATTATAAATGTCAGTCAGATACAGATGGATCTATCAGGGAGAAGCCTGCTGAGAGTGAACAAAACAACTTCATAATATAAATGTCTGCATGCTGTGTGCTAAGAAATGAGGTAACATGAAATCTTTAAGTGCAGATGATGTTGTCTTGTATTCCATACTTAAAAAAGTATCCTTCATGAAAACAAACAAACAAACAAAAAAAAAAGATACAAATATGATAGTAAAATCACTTTTCAAAACATATCTGTTCTTCTATAACTGAGCCAAAAATACATTCTTCAATAATAAAAAAAAAGAATGATAATATACATAAAATAAAATATTCTGATCATTATATATACTAGAATGCTGTCTTCAGTAAAAAGGACATCAGAGCGAGAACCCAAAATCACCTGCTCTTTTACTCCTGGAATCAGCTGCAGAGACGGGTGCACTGGATACCCTCCTCGGCTGTGGCTTGAATGGTTTGGATGGGAGTACGTTGTTAGTAAGTCCAGCTGCAAGAAAAACAGATCAAATATGTAAACTAGTCAGTCATTGTTCTGCTGGCAACAGAAATCTTCTTGGGCCATCTGCATACTTTGGCTTGCATAACTGTTCATTGGACATTGGATAAAAATGTTTTGGTTAACAGGCACATATCATGTATGTTACTTACTTTTTTTTTAATGGAGGGTAGATAAAAATGTTTTGGTTAATGGGCAGATATACTGTATATTTTACTTAGTTTTTTAAATAAACTGTCAGCGAGTTGACCAAAACTGATAGAGTTGAGTAGGTGCGTTTTATGTTGGCTAAAACAACCGTCTTCTAGGTTACATCTATCAAATGCTTGTATCATGTATAATATCCAGGACATGATAATTAAATAACTGATACAGCAATTTATTAGAGAGACGGAATGACAATAGCTGCAGGAAATTAAGCAGAAGAGTATTCATATGGAATATAAGCAATAAATGTCTTGACAGTTTATGTGTTATTACAGTTGGGTCAATGTCTCTCAATCTCTCTTCTATACATTCAGTGTGCCTGTTTAGGCAAAAGTGCAATGTGAAAGCGTCCACATACTTCCTATCAGGTGACAGATAAAATGATGTGGCAATATCTCATCTGCAATCAGGATATTGCAGATGCAGCTTTCATCAAAATGGAGCTAAACTTATTTTAATAAGTGCTCAATGTAGTATTTATGGAGATAATGGCTCCTGTAGGATAACACTGACAAAAAATTCAGTTTTAGCTATATAACATCCTTTTTTTAATTTAAGTCAACTTTTTGTACACTAGATAAAACTTAAAAGTTGTTTTCATTTTCATGCCCAGCATGATGCCCCGTGAATTCATATAGACAGAAGTGAACAATAATCATAATCAAGTGAACAGACACGCCCATTTCTGCCTATGATAGCAGCTATTATGGAGATGAAATCATTTTGTCTATATATGCTGACCACATTCCACAGCAGCATACTGTGTGTCACCAGTATATAGGTATTATCTCATTGCTGCCTGGGATAGCTGACCTAAAAGATCAGCCTACACATTTATATTTATCAAGATGTATCTGCTTTATACTACAGGCATGAGGTATTTATAGCCCTGGGTGTCACAGTAATTATCTCCCATGAAAAACCTCCTGATAAAGAGACAACTTTGCTATTGTTTATACATGACTAAACATAGATGTTTCCCTTCATTATTTTCCTTTTTTCCTGTACATACATATTTTTATTGAAGATGTAAGAAGTTACAGTTCTATATGCTAATTAAAATAAGACACGTTTATCTTATGATTGTATTCTACCAAGCTATATAATATTACAGAAATAATTTTCATTACCTAAAGTGATAAATAAAAATGCATTACTTCTGATAAGCCATTCGTTGAATAAAATTATAGCACTGCCAGTTTGTAACCTCTTTGGTGACTTAACAAAGATTTTCATTTGGTTGATAGAATTTTATGATAAAATAGTTATTTTGAACAACCAAAAGTTATTTTTCTTTTTGGGGAGAAACCAATGTATATACAGGTATTCCAACACTGTCAACACTGCACTAGTTTCTCCATCAGTTCTTGTGCCTTCTGCTAGGTGCCCTCCTCAAAAAGCTTTAGTTGTTCATAATATTTTTTTCAATATCTATTTGGATGTGGTGCACACCTGGACAAAATAATCCTCATATCTATCCACTATTATCTTAAATGATTCCACCCCATCTTCAAAGATAAAGAACTTTACCAGAAGTCAGACAGAGCATATATTCTAGTAAGCCTCAGCACAGAAAACAATTTCAAGAGTTAAAACTTCAACCCACTGACCCACATAATACCAATATATCATACTTCCCCAGCCAGATGACACATCAAGTGCATTCCTTCTTAGTGACAAAAACATAAAAAATAAATTCAAGTTATCAAAGCAAATATAGAACCTCGCATTAATAGCTGGGAACTAAAACATAAACATAAAAGTGTACAAAAATCATCTGTAATTGTTCCCACTGAGCACTAATACCTAATACCTACCAACTGCCCCTCCTATCTGTGAGTGAACAGTATTGTGGGCCAAGTGAAAGCACACTCACTCATTCACTAGTTTGGAGATTATGAGGCACAAGTACTAGCAGAGACATCTGGTGACAACAATGTCAGTTAGTTTCTTTCGTACATAAGTTAGACATCAGTGCTAAACACATAAATGTTACATTTCTTTAAATAAATTTCAAAATAGATGATATCAAAAAAGTGTGCTCAATTTTTTAGTTATGAAAAATAAAACAACATTTTTTTATTTACAGAAAAATTTTAATACACAATCATATCCATTTACTTCTATATCAATTTCATTTTACTTGCTTTCTTATATCTATTTTTACTTTATATTCACCTAGCTGAAGTTTTTTGCAAGGAAGATTATCTTTCCCAGACAAATTTATCTTGATCAATCACATGGGATAAACTGAACTAAGGCACAATAATGAAGCCACTGCTGGCAGAGATTGTGTTGGCTTATCAAACACATTATTACATTTATAACCTATGGGATAAATGCCAGAATAGACATTATCAAGAAATTACGTATATTTGGCCCTACTTGATTCAGTGTGCAAAACTAATTACTCAATAATCCAGCAGATAAAGATTTTTCATTTCAGTGGATACTTTCATTTGATGTAAGCTCAATTGGTGGGGGGTACATGCTGATCAGTCATAATATTGGTAAGTCAGCGTACTTACAGCCACTGTGTACTACATCCAAACCTCATTACTTCTGAAGAGATTGCAGGGGATCAAAAGTTTAAAGGATAAGTGTGCTTATTTGAGTTTTTGGCATCCACAGATAAATTTCACAATCTCCATCTTCTTATGAGAGCCCTCTTTTCACTTAAACTTTTCTCAAACTGGAGCCATAAAACAAGGAATAAAAATACAAAACAGTCAATTTGGTAAAAAATCATTTCTAAGAAAATTCACTTATTTCATTAAGCCTAATATAAGAAGTACATGGCCAAAACAATACTCTTGTATCCAGTGGTCTGCAAATTGCTAGACCAGCTTTTCTTGCTTAGAGACCTGGGTCCCGTAACTCGAAAGCATCGTGCATTGTGACTGAGTGCAAGCGTCTCGATTCCATAATTCACCCATACTCGCCCCATATAATACACTGTAGCCTCTATGTGATATCACTATTCACAATATGTGATGCTTTTGAGTTACGGGGCCCTGGCTGACAGGTTAGGCCAAAGAAAAGCTAAGTTTTGTTAACGGTCAAAAAACATTTGATTTCATACCTGTTCTGCCAGATTCCAAGGAAGCTATCCTGCGCAGTGCGTCTGCCAGGGCACTTTTCAGACAGAGCATTTCGTCTTCATTCTGGTGGACCTTTTTCTCCAGGGCAGACACCCGCTCTCTGAGTTCCTCATTCTCATGATCCAGCATGCCGTCTACAAGATAAAACATTTTAAATAAATTTCATTGATGAATGAAATACATGGAGCACACAAAATATTTGCATGAGAAATATTATCATTAAAACACTTTTCAATTCAGAGAAAATCCCATTTACACAATTTTAAGTTAGACAACATCATTTAATTATGTGATGCCCAAAGATGATAGTAGTTCATAACTAAGAGAAACAACAAAGTTAATTGGTTATAACCAAAAGCATCAAGGAAATGTTGGTGATGAGTACATTTCTTCTAAGAAACACAAGTGAGTCAAATTCCTGGTATCTTGCTCTTTGTTGAAAGAAAAAGAAAAGCCATGGATAATTAATATAATTTATGCTAGCATGTTCTGTTTATGTTTTCTTATCTAAAAACATTCATATTTTCAGATACATAAACTATACAGACAGTTCAGCTAAAGGACAAACCCACACAGTTCCACACTGATCACTAAACTAGGTGCCATGCACATGATCAGTGGTCTCTGGAGAGATGGTGGTGTACAAAGTAACAGCATCCTCAGTGCATCACATGGCCTTTACTTGGATTGAGGAAAAGTGTAATTAAAACAACAGATCAAGGTCATAAAAACTTGCTTCAAACCCCATATTGAAAGCAGATATATAAATTTGTACATCACTCAGTGAGACTATTAATTTGAACATCTCACTGTTTCCACACTGATCACCCAAAATAAACCACTTAACAACAGAACAACTTTATCTGAGTGGTGTGACCATGTCTCCCAACTCTTTTCCTATGCACATATTCTCCAACTGATAACCCTGAGGACCCTTAGAGAAGATGATATTCCATATCTTGTAAAGTCAATGGAATTCTTGAGTGCGCTTCAATAGAAATATCAAAAATTAAAATCAATCAATAGGAACAAACCATTTGTCATAACCTGACATTGCAACTCAGCCAGTCTCCACATTGTAACCACATTAAATTGTACACAGTGGCCATCCCTACTGTGCTTACAAACAACCTGTTCCTTAGCTATGCCAATCTATTCTATACCTTGCCCCACCTTAGCCTATACCTTGTCCCAACTTAAATGGATAATAACTCTTCGCATGAGATCTATATTTCACAATAAAAACATCGTGAATAACTCATAGAAATATAATATATTCTGTTTTATCACAAAAACGGCAGTTATAGCTATTATTCTGATATCTGATCTTGTCTTCAGACCACGTGACCTCCACTGATGGTTATACTCTGTTAAAATCTCTTAAGAGATTATAACAAAAAACCAAACTTTTTAGAAAAAAAACCAGGGACTAACTTTGAATGTAAAAAGGGATTCATTAACCATTGGTAAGTATGGGAAAATTGTTGTTTACTCCAGGAAAATTCATTTTTTTGGCCGAAATGAAGAGTTATTATCCCTTTGAGGTGTGTTAACATTGAAACTATCATACTAGGTAGATCAATCCCATTCTGCAGGGACTCTTGCTGAATGCACCTAGCTAAATGACAAGACTCCTCCGACAGCATATGAGTATATGCTGTGCACCAAAAAGACTTACCATATGACAGACAAGCAGGCAATCCAGTATTCACAATTTTTTTTTCAATCTTGTCACTACCTTCTGACAACTGTTTAATTACTTGAGACCTATGTAATATCCCAACCTAGCTTTTTTTTCATATGGCAACCTAGCATGTTCCCTGTGACAAACTAGCATTTTGGCAAACTTAGCATGTACCTAAGTTGAAAAAACTAATATCTATTTACTTCAGTATCAATTTCATTTTCCTTGTTTTTTATATATCTATTTTTACTCCATATTCACCTAGCTGAAGTTTTTTGCAATGAAGATTATCTTTCCCCAGACCTTTTTGGTCAATCATATGGGATAAACTGAACCAAGGCACAATAATGAAACTAATGTTTTGGCTATAGCAACCAACCTTTGCCTTGTGTCAACTTAGCCTATAGCTTTAATAAACCTACTAGTAATTGTGTATTGCAGCTGATCTTTAAATGATCTTTAAAAACGAAATATGCCAAGTGGTAAACTAGAATAGCTGTACCTTAATTGTGTCAAGCTGGCATATGCCTTGTTACAGCTAACCCGTGTGGAAACCTAGACTGTGTCTTGTGGTAGACCAGAGCCCTTATTAAGACCTTGCCTTAACCAACAATGAAGTAGGGAATGTAGTGACAGAATATCTTAACAGCATTATCATCATAATATGAAGTCTGTTCAGCAAAAGGAAAAATAGCCAGTATAATCTAACCATGTGTTATCAATAAGTAAATCCTCAGTAGCAGCTTCTGTGTGGTGCTTTCATTGCCCAAGATTAGATGAATACATTGGGAAAGAATGGTGTCTTGGGTAGATAACATGTATTACAATGGTCCATCACTTCTCATTTATTTATGCTATGAGACATTTAAGTCACCATAAAGTTAGGTATTTGTACATAATATATGCTATGAGACAATTTCAAGTCACTATAAGGTAAGGCATTATATGCCTGTGGCCCTTTGCTCTGAACATTTGACTTTCAAGATAATCATAGAAGTTGCAACAATATGTATGTAAACATGCATATATTAAATCAGACAGACATCTTCACATTGTAATACATGACATCAGGATACAACAGGTAACAATACCACATCCACTGACATTAAATTGGCCATACAATTCTACACATTGTAATGCATCATGATGCATGACATCAGAATATATACAAAAGGAAACAAATACACATACAGAGCAGTACTGGGCATAACATGGAGACTTACCAAGAGCAGACATATCTGAAAGATTCCCTGAAAAATCCATACTGTTTTAGACTGTTGCTGGTAAGGCTTACCAGTCAATAAAGCCTTCCCCAAGCCTGTGACTAGTATGCCAGGGTGGAAGGAATAAACTCTGTTACAAGTTGTACGTAAATTCAATTTTGATGCCTGTCGTCTAATCTTAATCTTGGTTTTAGTGAGACATATCAAATATTTATCTTACCTGTGAAGCTTTCCACAGGGGAGGGGGGATTTCAATGGTTGATAACATATTAAGAGGTTGTTCTTGTTTGATTACCACACTTGTTCTTCTTTAAAGTAGGATTAAGGTAAAGAATCTGATATGTTAGTTTGTTTTCTAAACAGGCCACTATACAATGGACATCATAACTTCCAAAAAGAAAGTGCAAAATCAGAAATTCATAAGGTCTCCATTGTTCCCTTTCAATAATTTGAGCTCAAGTTAGCAGGCAGACTTATTTTTACCAAATCATATATATACTGGTTAGATAAAATTTCTTTTAAAAATATTTATCAATCAATTATGTAAACTATATGACTAAATTTGAATGCATTTAAATACACTCATACACATTTTATTACAAAATTATTCAATGTGGCCCAATACAAATTTATACTAATTCATCATAATTATACATCATTATAAGGAGCAATACCTCCATGTTGATCATGAGTTGTGGCACAATATCTTCAGAATATTATTACTAATTCTGTATCATTGATATCATTTCTTTGATATAATCTATAACTGGTAAAACATTATTAATAACTGTACCTGCAATCCATATCTAAGATTAAATATACATGTCACATAATGGGGAAAAAAGCAGGTACCAGTATCATTGAATTAACATGTTCCAATCTGGGTTACTGGCAATGATTAAAAAGTAGTCCTTAAAATACAATGTCAGATTCCCAGTATGGTTTGTTTTTTAAATCTGTCTTAACAAGTCCAACCTATATGTAGATCTATTGTAATTCCTGTAAGCATATCCTCTCCTCTATTTCCCCCAATTGGACTTCCTGGATAACCACGTAGCAAAAGGTCTTCTACCATTTTTTAGTATGTCAGTATGTTGTATAATCCATTGGGTCAAGCCAATTAGTGATCATTAGACCTGCAGTTCTTTAATTTTTGATCATTAGTACCTAAAATCAATGAATGTCTCATAATTATCTATAACTGCAGGGCAAAAGATCACAATGCCAATATAATGAACTCTCAATGTCCATTGACATTTGCATTCTATCACCTTTGAATTTAGAAAAAAAATTCATTCAAGCCGTCTATGTGCAACTAATTATCAAAGCAACTTCAATATATTATTTACAATTGAATTCTGCCCTCAGAGACTACACTGTAGCAGCTGGTACCATGAATCCCAGAGGCTTATGAAATAGAACTTTTTTTTATAAATCCCCCTCAATAGCAGAAAGATAAATTCTCCTAATAAATGATTCTTTTTTTTTTTTTTTTTTTTCAATGTGCTTCCATTTGAAAGCTCGGAGCTTTAGAAAAATCTTGAATGGCAATATGGGCAATGCAACAGATACAGATATATAGGGAGCTTAAATTGAAGACCAATGGAACAGATAATAAAACAATCACCAATGACACAAGCAATGGCATTCATATGACTTTTTCAAAATCACCCATTATACACTGAAACAGAACAGAGCACAACTGTTTAGTGTATTTGAGGTAGGCATAGACAGCAGCAATATGGCATTCAAGCAGACCAACATTTCAACCATACCATCAGACAGTAAACAGATACCATTATACCATTTAACACCTAAAGAGAACTGCTTACCAAGAACAAACCTGACCATTTTCCAACTCTCTTTCTTGGCATCAACAATGGGTTCCATCAGTAAAGCCTGTATCACCTCAAAACCATACTGACAAATGGGAATCATTCAATATAAGAAACAGATAAAATACCAGATCCAATCACTGCCACACTCCATGACCTCTCCCTACTAACCTCAGTGGTAGAATTTCTTTCAGCAAAGATTTTTTTGCAAAATACCAAATTAAAAATTTAATGTTGATTGGTAAGAAATATAATGTAAATGTTTTTTTTTAACAAAATTATGTCACCTTTTGAGAATCACATTCATAACGAAGTCAAAATTTTTTCCAGAGTATATATTTACTCCTCTCGTTGAAAGTGAATTATCATCCAGCAGTGTGTAACCCTTATCATCAAATGATACTGGAAATGTGTATCATTATTTAAACATGACGCGTGCTTAAAACTACCACATCTATATTATTATACAGATATCAAGACTGTTTCAACTGCCAGTGGGGAAAAATCACTCATTCTTGGCACCATCCAGCCAGACTTCAATATGTACTCAACAGACTCGCTGATAGGATAATCATAGTGAAGATGGGGTATGTTTTTGTTTCTTGTTACTAACACAGACAGTTTCCTCCTCATAACTTTTATTATCTGTGATAATAGATTGCAGAACACTAGGCAAAGATCATTTCTATTTGTTCTTCTAATTATCAAAATACTTTGCCAAACAAACAAAGAACTGACACAGGACTGTCCTTGACAAATATTTGCTGTTAAAAAACAAACTTGGTATGTGTTGTCATTTGTTTTGGGTACATGTATAAGCATACCTTTCCAAATGAACATACATACATGTATATGTATGCTTTTATATGCATGCATGTACATGTGGGGGCAACTAAAACATGACAGTTGTTTTGAAAGGAATCTTATTTTCATATCCAAATTTTCTTTCAAATACTCCATGTATTCCCAAACTTAAAACCAGCAATATTAAATAAAGGCCCCTTTTTACTTACTTAGTTGACCCAACATAAAACCAAGATTAAATGTGATTTGGCACAACCCTGTTCTGGCCGGGGGGGGGGGGGGGGGGGGGGGGGGGGGGGTCTTTTTT